GGAGATTTAAACAAAGTGCTGTGATGAATATAAATCTTTGTGTAATGAGATACTATTATGAGCTCTACCATGATTGCATAAGGATTTGGTGAGTGTAATCTGCAGTTATAGAAGTCCATTACACCAGAGCTCACCATTAGGAACATATCACTAAAACCCAGTGTCAGTGTGGAGAACAGAGGGGAATAGTTTGTAAATAAAAAAAAATATATTCTATTCAATTTTATTTATTGGGTATACATGGGTCCAAACGCTTGGGAAAATATCTCTTTGAAATTAATAAATAAATTATATATCAGATTTAGTCATATAATGAAAAGAGTCTTACCTTCAAGGTGTGACGTAGCACCTTGTTTTAGCCTGAAAACATTCAACTCAGATATTTAAAAAATGCATTCACACCCACACACACACACCTCCACCCTCCCTAACACTGCAGTTTCCACACAGCCACTGACACGCCCACCCGCTTGCTCCGATCGTTGCTCCAGAGAGGGAGTGTGGAAATGGGTGGCTGAACATCACATTACCTTGGTACATCAGGCAATGTTTTTACTATAAGGGACAGAATTACTGGATTTTCTGGACTGCTGTCACAATGAATACTATTGACTGGGACCAAAATACTAATACGGTCTAATCAGAATCAGTGTCAGAATCAAAATCAGCTTTATTGGCCCAGTATGTGTACACATACAATTCATTTAACTCCAATTTTAAGTTGATCTCAAAGTTATTGAGAGTTATTTTCAGGAAGACACTGTAAGTCAATACATGACCATAATAGCTGTTCTGTTTGTGTTATTATTAGTAACCTAGTAGTAGTAATAGTAATAGTACTAGTAGTTATCATTATTAATTTCTTATACATTGTCACATCCATTTTGCTAGGAACTATGGCTAATCTTCCTAGCAAAATAGTCCACAGAAAGTCTTGTAGACTTCACTTGTGAAAAAGGAATGCACCTGTTAAGTCTGCGACTCTGCTAGTGCTCTGTTCTCTGTACATTTGGATTCAGCTTTTCTTTTCAGCCGTAAAGATTCATTGCTATATCATAGAACATATGTTAACAGAACAAAGCCCATCTGTCGATGAAGATCTGAATATCTGGTTCTGAGACCATTTTGTAAAGTGATCCTGAACTGTCACTTTAAAGCTGCATCAGTCAATATTTACAGGGGCAGAGCCAGAAACCTGGGGCCTAACCCAAACCTAAGGGGGTCCGGGGCCATGTTCCCCCAGGGAGGTTTTTTTCCCCATTTACAGCCACTCTATGTACAATTTTTCAAGCCATTTGAGATAACATAATGCCTAAAATAACATGATAGTTGTCCAGGAAAAGAAAATCATCCTGTAGAGCCCACATCATATTTTCTATCTAATTGCTCTCCAATTGTCTTCATCATTCTGAAACCAGAACACAACAAATTTTGAGGATGACTAATTTTCACTCCTACCACCTAAAATGAGGCACAAATTGTCTGATGACTATTTTTAAGTTTAAGTTACATAAACATCATTACTAATCTTGAAATCCATTTTTATTCAACTATGCTGGAGTTGAGTTCACTGAAATAACGTACAGCTGACATAATGAATAATGAATCTCTGCCATAATAATCTGGGCTGCTTTAACGGCAAAGCACAGATCCCCAACAATGCCAAGTAAATGTCTTCAGTACTCTGAATTGAATATTAAGGCTAACAAAAGAACATTTCTCAAATTAGATTTCTTTAGGGAATAGCATAGTTGGATATGCATATATTATCTTATGGTACTTTATTTGATTTCATTTCTCTCACTCTCTCAGCTCCACTCATATTTCATCCCCTGAAAAAAGAAAATATTAAATGAAAAAAGTATTAAGATTTCTGATGATAAACTTAACAAAACCTATTAAATGCCAATATTATTCTCTCCTACTCCTGGGACCTCTGATCTCCTTTACTCCTCTGTTCTTCACTCCTTTCTTCTCAACACATTTTCACATCTCATTTCCTATTCTCTCCTTTATTCTTCTCCTTCACTCTCTTCCTCGCTCTTCTTCTCACCGATTTTCCCTTCCTTTCCTCCTAGCCCTTTCTCACGCACATTTTTCTCCTTCTCTTCTGCTTTTCACTCCCCTCATCATCTCTCCTCCTCTTGTCCTGCTTCCTCTCTTGCTCCACAGGTTTTCTTCTGTCTTTTCCTCCTGTTTTGTGCGCTCTCTTCATGTTGATATATCCATAGTCCATAAGCTACTTAGCTTGCTAGCACTGAGATGCCACGATTGAATAAATCGCAACAAATAGAGATGTTACCAATACAATTCTTCCCTTCCTGATACCGATTCTGATACCTGAACTTTGTTTCGTGGCAGATAGCCCTAGTCGGACTCTGACTGGCTAGTACTTGTTGCCTTTATTGGTTTGAGCTATTTGAGCTTTTAGGTTTAGGCATGAGCAGAGAGATTGGTTAGGGTTAGGGGGAGAATATCAGGGTAAGCCAGTCTAAGAGGGTAGGGCATCCTGGGGGGGAAAAAAATGGCAAATGGGATGTTGTTGCTGGATCGGTGCAGAGACTCACATTTTCGCCAGCATACCGCTACTGTAAATGCCTCCATCCTGGCTGTATTGGAGGCATTTTCAGTAGCAGTATCGGAACAACCCGAACAATAACCCCATGCCAATATTAGGCCGGGCCTATTAATTGCGATATTTTTTCTGACTTAACACCTGACTCAGCAGTTCCCCTCTACTCTATGGAGCACAGCTTTTCTCAGCACATTGTTTTGGTTTTTACGACTCGCAGCTTTACGGTTTTGGTTCACTCCTATCGCTCTCATCAAGTTAATTTCTGCTGTTTTCAGCAAAAACTGTCTGATAACAAACATTTTATATAGCATTGCTCTGGACATTAGACAATACCAGTAAATTCAGCCTGCAGAAAGGCCATAAACTGAACTTAAAATATAAATCTGTTCTTTTTTCCCTCTTGTTTCACTGTTGCTGTCTATGCCAAGTTTTCTGCTGTTCATTCATTCATTTGCTCTCACAGAAACAGGCATGTGTAAGTTCAATGTCTTTTTTTCATTATTTCTCATACAAGGCGATGACCTATAGGCTTAAATCAGGTGCAAATTTGTACCTTTGTACTCAGCAGGCAGCATCTCTTCCTTGTGTAACAGGTCTGGCTAAGCGTGGGAGAGAAGGCAGATATTTTGAAGTTTAATCAATAATATAGTAGTGGGATCAAATGAGTATTGCACTGCAAATGGGGAAGGGTTTCTGTCTATGAAATCCACATTTTGCTACTGTGGGAGAGAGAGCCTCTTTTATCTCAAAACCTGCGAAGAAATTGATATGGCTCTTTCGCTTGTCGATGCAATATTTCAGTGAATGACAAGCCGTGACAATTTTCAAAGTGAGATAAATGAAACATGCCAAATTGAGACAGTAATCATCTGGTGAAGCACACTTGAAACCTCTGGCTTTCTGTATAATCATTTGGGAAAACTCCAAACAAAAAGCTTAGTTTTTTCACATGGTAACACATTTTCCCTCCAAATCTGAAATGATCAAGCTCTAATATTTTAGTTTTGAATGCCGGTCTTCATCATGAAACCATTAATTAAAGCATTTTACTGAACAGACAGCACCTCGGGCAGTAAAATTCAAATAGGAATTAATTTGACCTCGACCTCATCGACTGGAGGTTACATAACAAACATTTCCTCTCCTCCTCTGGAACTCAAATAAAACGGCCTGTCTCAAGTGTCAGAGGAAGAGTAGCAGATTGTATCTGTGCGCAAACAGACCTTTGATACTACGCTATTAGCGTTAGGGTAAATACTGCATTTTTCCCTCCACTGCATATGAGGAAAGATGTGATTCACCTTTTTATGATTGCCGGTTCAAGTTTGAAGCAGAACCTCAATGAAGATGTATCAAATATTTATACTGAAAAACAAAGTCAAGCATGTACAGCCCCTCAACAATGGCAACACACCTACAAAAAGGCTTTGTCACTCAAGCAACACCTGGCCATGATGGGTCTCTAAGCAACGAGTGTTAGTGCATGAAAGGAGGGAAAGGAAACAGCACCCACTTAATTACGTGCTGGTTGAAATCTGTCTCCTATCTTCTGGGTGAGAAAGAACAAGGGAGACTGGTTAGAGAGCAATAGCCTATGATTTCTGTCTACATGGGGTGTATTCTTTATTTAGAGCTTGATTTTCTTTTCTTTTTGAGCTCTCAGTGCTGCTACATTTTGTGTTGTTGTAGTGATAATTGGTAATGTTTGAAGGAAAACGCACATGAGGGAGGTGTAACTTATGAGCCCAGAGAGCTGCAATAAAAAACAACACCCTTCTCTTCTAAACAAATTCTGATCAGAATGGAGTCAAAATCATGCTGGTGAGGTAATAAGCAGTTGTTATTTGAAGGCCTCGAGTGCCCATTTCTATTCATGTTATTTTACAAATTGCTTTTAATCGGGTGCTGCTGGCAGGTACAGATGCAATCATCTGAGGGTTGCTGTCAAGTGTCCTTCTTACTTCATGCCTCTTGAGCATCTGATAGGACTCTGCATGTTTATATTGCAGTGGTAGTTCTCACAGGAGTTACTATGGAACATCTTAGGGCAGCATTAATGGGAAACATTTTCAGAAAGATGTGCACATGATGTTTTAGAATATGTAACTTTAGAAAATGTAAGATTATTTAAGGTTAATATTGCTGACAAGCAGATGTTTTAATGGTCATAGAGCCATTAATGGTGCGTTAGACCAGAAATAATGCACACACACACAAAAAAAGGGGAAATCTAAGTAAAGCTTTAATGTATGTAGTAAATGTATTTGTATAAATGTATAAGCTGACCGAGATGCATATGGTCAGCGCCTTTCTGCTGGCTGGATACTGTCATATGTGTTGGTTCAGTCTCTGATGTCACTGAATGAGCAGTGCGGGCTTCCAGTGCGCACCTTCGGGGACGCAGCGGTGGCAAAGGCAGTGCATTTTCTGCTCGTCCACAACTACACAGACACCTTTTGCTTCTGCCATATTTCCAGCATCCGGATTTCAATCTGTGGCTGAGCGTCCCCTGAGGAACTCCTCATCAGTGTTGTTGTATTTGAATGAACTTTTTTGGAGGCAGAAAAACAGGTAAGGTGTTGTTACACTTGCGTATTGATGTCCTTGAGCGCGGACTGTTGCGCTCCCGTTTTTTTCTCCCCCCACTACAGCCATGTCTGTGCTAATAGAGATAAATGCTGTTTTGTTTTCTTTCTTGTAGCTGTCGCCGGGAAAGCTGTCTCCGCCGATTATCTGTGTAAGTTGAGCGGTCAGTTTACGCCCAGCAGCAGTAGCAGCAGCCCGGCCGGTGCAGCGTTCAGCACCATGGAGAGCAGCGTGGTGCACATCTACAAAGAGGACAGGTGTCCCTCGGGACATCCTGAGGAGTGCATCCCAAACTTCACCTGGCAACCCGGCTTATCGGACGTCTTCAACTACACACCCAACGGGACCTGGGACGCTGAGCCCGAGCCCATGTCGCCCATCATCCCCATTATAGTCGCGGTGTACTCCGTGGTGTTTGTGGTGGGCTTGGCGGGCAACTGTTTGGTGATGTATGTCATCATAAGGTGAGTTTTCAGCTTTGAAAATGTGTCAGCTATTCATATGATGTCAAAAGCAATGCCGGACATCTCGCCAAGTGTGTGAAATATCGTGCGTACCTGAATGCATAGGGCTCATAAAGCAATAGGAAATTCAGTGCGTATTAATTTGTGACCATAAGTTAATAACAGCGAAAACTATTAGTGTTTGTTCAGCTGCTGGGGGGGAATCTGTGATATGGTGGAAAATATAAGTATAATTAAATGTGTATTTCTTGTTGTTTCGTTGTTTGCGCCTCTTCGTGGTGTTTTCCGTGCATGTGCATGTGTTAAAATGTGTTTTTTTAATTGGAAAACTGACCCCTGAATCCTGAGTTAATATTTTCTTCACCATACTGACGACATGTGTTATAGATTGTAACAAGGTTTGCAATGATTGCAATGTCAATATTTCCTCTGAAAAGCTCATGTGTCCCATTTCATGTAAGATTCGGCTTAAAGCCTCATAAAGGTCTTTTCATTTTAAACACTGGATGTGAGATCAACCTTGATAGATTACATCTTAAAGCCTTGAATTAGGCAAGAGATAATGGAAGTGGAGAAAGTGGGAATTATTTTTCTTCTTTTTGTTCCATTTGTGTGTATGTACAGTATTTTGGCTGCTAAAGTTAATCTGTGTAATCTGTTTATTTAGAGAAAGAGCTGATCACCTTCGTAACTAATCCTTCTGAAAGCGATTTAATTTCCATTTCTCATTTCATTTGCTCTTCTTTTAAAGGATTTAACCAAGAAAAAATGGGAGACAAATGACAATCAAATCCATTCAACCTCTTCATGTTTTCTTCTCCCTCCTCCGACCAATAGATACACCAAAATGAAAACAGCCACCAACATCTACATCTTCAACCTGGCTGTGGCTGACGCTCTGGTCACCACCACCATGCCCTTCCAGAGCACCGACTACCTGCTCAGCTCCTGGCCGTTTGGCGAGGTGGCATGCAAAGTCTTCATCTCCATCGATTACTACAACATGTTCACCAGCATCTTCACGTTGACCATGATGAGCGTGGACCGCTATGTGGCAGTGTGTCACCCCATCAAGGCCTTGGATTTCCGCACACCCGTCAAGGCCAAGATCATCAATGTGATCATCTGGGTGCTGTCGTCCGCTGCTGGGATCCCTGCCATGATACTTGGCAGCACAAAGACCAATAACGGTACCTTGACCTTGCATACATTCACTCTGCTCTGCACTCTTTTAACCTTTGATGTTTAACAGTATCACAGGTCTTTCTTTCTTATATTTGTCTGGTTTATTCAACGTCCATGTCTGCTATAGAGACAAAATTCCTTCTGTCAGCTCCAAATGGACTCTTATAGGCAATTTTAAACTTGAAACCCCACTGCAGTCCGAAAATCCTTGCATTGAATTATCTCAATTGGCTGATGAAAGCATCCTTCAAATTCCATGAAGAGGATGTTCTGTAGGCTTGATGAGAGCCTACATTACAGCTACTTGACTAGATGAAGCCACGACAGACATAATGTGTCCTGAGAAGAGAGCTAGGAAGATTCAATTTTTTTTCAGTCTAATACAGTGGCTCCCAACCTGGGGGGGGCGCCAGGGATCACAGGGGGTGCGCACAACTTTGTCTGCTAAGGTTGTGAGGTTACCAAAATAATATAATCCAAATTGAAACATATTTTTGGTCCACATTTAAATTCTTTAAGCTGTTTATTACCTATTTAGTGCGTGTATGCGGGTAGGGGTTGTGGTTGGGGGGGCCTGACTTGTCTTGGACACAGGCAAGGGGGGGCTTCAAGGAAAAAGGTTGGGAACCACTGGTCTAATAGATGGTTCGTGTTCACAATGAGCCTTCATTCAATAAAGCACAGTGCACTTAAGTCAGAGCTGTTAGACTAGGTGATGAATCTACCTCTCCGTGGGGATAACCTCACTGCATCACAGGATCTGATATTATAGTTCTATTATAATAGATATAATAATAGACATTCATGGTTCCCAGAGGATGAACCATATTGACTTTGATAATCTCCTGTCTGTTCCTCTAGCGCCACCATGATGTTGTTAGTTAAATGTCTTGAGAACTGTTGGGTGGATTGATGTCCCCACGTGGTTGTAATAAGTAGTATATAAACATTGAATACATGGTTTATATCACACTATAATGTATTTGTAAGATATAAGCATTTATTGATGTCTTTGTTAACAACTACAACTCCTCCCTTAGGAACCAATAAGTGGAGGCTGATGTATAAACAGACTGTAGAGCCTAACAACACAACTTAATAAAAGAAGTAAGCTAACATAACTGAATCCTCCCACTCATTCCCATGAATTAAACCCAACTCAAAAATAAGTTGTTGTTTTGAGTGCACTTAAATTTGTGCAGTATTTTAAGTATTGGTGATTTAATTCCAGTTTGTTCCATTGACTCATTTTCTTTACGCTGACTTTATATGATTTATTACGAGTTACTTGTACTTAACTCAAATATTTTTTCCTGCTTAAACCTTGGAGGTAATAAATTTAAATGGTTTAAGGCAATCGGTTTCCTCAAACAATTTGAGTTGAACCCAACTCAACTCATATCTAAAATATGATAATAACACAGTTATCATTTTACAAAATTAATACTTCAGCTGTGTTCAACTACATTATAGTGCATCATAAACCATTTGAAAGTATAACATTTAAATGTTTGCTATACTGCTTAGAAATGCTAAATAATAGAAGGACAGAATTAAATGTCATCAACTTTCCATCTAGAGCTCTGCTTTGTGTTTTGTGCTATTTAGCAAATCTTAACGCACCTAACCAAGGTGAAAACAACAGGTAAACATCAGCAGTATCAGGAATTAGCATTTAGCTCAAAGCAACCTCACAGAGCCGTTAGTACCTAAGTCTTGTTGTTGTTGTTTTCTTCTCAATTAAATATGACTAACTCTGTTTTAACAGGCACTACAGAGTGTGCCCTACAGTTCCCAGAACCCTACATCTACTGGGACACCCTTATGAAGATCTGTGTCTTCATCTTTGCCTTTGTGGCACCCGTCATCATCATCACCGTCTGCTACACACTGATGGTCATGCGGCTGAAGAGCGTGCGCCTGCTGTCGGGCTCACGCGAGAAGGACCGCAACCTGCGGCGGATCACTCGTCTGGTGCTTGTGGTAGTCGCCGTCTTCGTGGTGTGCTGGACGCCCATCCACATCTTCATCTTAGTCAAGGCGCTGTCGGGCAACGTGCCTGAGACCACCGCCGTCATGGCCGCCTACTTCTTCTGCGTTGCGCTGGGCTACACCAACAGCAGCCTCAACCCCATCCTCTACGCCTTCCTGGATGAGAACTTCAAGAGGTGCTTCAGGGACTTCTGCTGCCCCGGTGCCCAAGGACACAGAGACTGCCAGGGGGTGAGCCGGGTGAGGAGCACCTTGCGGGACCACTCGTGTCCCACAGAAGGCCGGGGAGATATGAGGCAGGCCAGGCCCGTATGACTAGCCATGGACATGTCCTCTATGCCCTATCAGGGCTGGGAGGACTCCAATGAGCTGGGATTGACTCAAATCACCACTGCCATCTAAGGGGAAGGCTAAAGAGAGGGATAGTTATTTATTTACCCAGAATGCTGGTCAGAGAATCCAGAAGCATGTACATTTAAAGAATAAACTGGGGATATTCTACATTTTTCTTATCGTCAACAAATCCCACAAAAAGCCTAAAACCATCAAAGAATTTAGGCTATTCCCTCACTGTCCAAAAAACGTTAAAAACATCAGTGAGCCACACTGTTGCACTGGGTGACACGTCCAACATTATAATGAACAATTATTTTGAGTTCATCCCATATACACCATCCTGCTGCTGGATATACACACAAGACCACCAAATGTGTATCAATCCGCTGCTGAAAATAGTCCCTAATAAATACACCACCAATTTCTCTTGTAAGAGTAAAATTTTAAACATTGCCCAGTGCGGTCTGATAAAAATAAAAATAATAAAAATGAAACTATATATATGTGACCAAGCGGCAACGTCTGTGGCTTACAAAAGACAACAAACAAGTAACAAAAACTGCAGTTTCTTAAATGGCCACTTGAGGTTACAGAAGTGATCAATCTCCATAGGGCCCCATTTTAAAATGCCTTTACTTTACAGCAGAAATAAAAAAATGTACAGCTGCAAAAACGTTTTTGATCTCTATAGCTAATTTCCCCGTTCAAGGCAACTGTACCATTTGAAAAAATAACACATTTTTGGAGCCGGTAGTGTCAGGACTGCCAAGATGGAGAGGGCCAAACCACACTGAGCTTCACAAACGCTCTTCAGTCTATAAGACCTGTTTTTAAAGAATGAAATGAATGGGCTTGAGACAGGCTAGAGAAGTCAGAAAGAACTGAGAGATGGACATGTTTTCCATCTTTGTGGGATTTGTTGACACATAGAAAAATGTAGAAAAACATAGAAAAACACTGGACTCCTTTAAAATGAAGTTTAGATTAAAGTCACTATGAGACAGTGATTGTCGAAGTGCAAAGATGCCTCCAGGATCACAGCCCAGTAAGATACTAAATCATTGTATAGTATTTTGCCGTGTATAAAATCCCCTCTGAAGAAATTGAAGCTTGAAGTATTAAAATTACTATAATATTATTTTTCACACTGTCAGAAAATTATGTCCAGGTGTGACAAACCAAAAGTATTTTATTCACATTTTGTTTACCTGACCTGTAAATTTTAGGCTTTCACATTAAAGTGATTAATATAGTTCTCCAATGCATAAAAAGATCAACTGGTATTTTGTGCACAGAATGAAAAGAAGTAAATGTCCCTGATTCTTTTGGGAACAAAATGCATTATGAGCTTTGTTTTAAACTGACTGTGTTTTATGTGGATTGTAGTTTGGTGCTTTGTCGTATTGTAAATTTGTGAATAGTCGACATCTTTAAAGAGTCTCACTTTAGCAGAAAACCCATGTAGAATATTGAATAACCTCTCAGGGATCATCCTCTGTATAATTCACAACAAGAAGATACTGAATAGTATTTTCTCCTTGATGAGATGGTTGACTGTCAGTGTTGAAACATTAGCGGTTACTGTTCTTTAAAGCTGAACTTTGTGCTTTAAGAAACTATTATTATCTGACACTGCTCCATACTTTTAAACACTTTCAGCTGTGACGTCTCATCGAGGAGATGTCGAACGTTGTACATACTGTTGTCAACCTGACACATTCTCACCTTGTCTGAAATACTGGTACATGTGAAAACTGGGCAGAGGGCTCCAAGGCAACAGCTGACATGATAATGAGATACTGTATCCACACAACAGGGCTTTTGGTGGTTAGTGCAATTTAATGTTTATACTGTAAACCTCTGCACAACATGTTATACTTTTAGCTTGGCAACATTTATCCTCATGAAAATTAGGTTTGATTTGATTGTGAGTGATTTTCTGTCTTGGTTTCCTTATTGTAGTTTTTATAGGAGTCACCAGATCAATCAGAATTTATCAAATCAAAGGCTTGTGAGGGTTTTTCTTAATGTAAAACTAACCATTAATATATGTATCTGTCTAGATCCGATAATGATAACGTAGTTATAGTAGAAAATGTGTTTTTGTGCCTTGTTTTGTGCCTTATCTTTAGCTATCTTGCTTGCTCTAAAAGATCAGCAATTAGCCACATACATTTGTGTGAAGACTTTGAGTCTAAGAGTACGAAAGTATATCCTGGTATAAGCTTACTGCTGAAAGTTATTGTAGCATAATCTAAAAAAATATATAATACAGGTGTACATCCCACTAGCTTAGCTTTGTTACAATATGTGTTTTTTAAGATTATACGATTATTTGGGGCATTTTTTTGCCTTCAGTTGGTAGGACAGGTAAAGAGGCAGACAGTAAATGGGGAGTGAGAGGTTTATGACATGCAACAAAGGTTGCTGGTTGGAATCTAACTGGCAACAATGTGCTGCAACCATTCAGTTAAAACTGCGCTTTCAGTATGTGTTTCTTAACTATTCCTCTAATACTGTAACTTACTCGATAGACATGATTGTATTCATAAACACATTATTGGCCCAATTCAGGTCTGACTACCATATCTGTATAATGTGCTGCTGCATTGTTGCATCACTGTTGGATGCTTTGCTGTATCTTTAAGCTTTGAATGTCAAAACATGCTTAATACATGTGCAACTAAGTCACAATAAAGCTGTAAAATGTGAGATTGCTTCATTTAAAGGAAACGCTATATAAGAGGGGTTTCTTTCTGTCCTTAATGATATCCAGGTGGGTTAACTGATGAAAAATATAGCAAATAAATATCTTTGAAATAACATCACAGAACAGCCATGACATTACCATCCACGTCAGGATGAATGTTTTTTTTCTTCTTTCAAACCTGTATTAATTCTATTCAACTCAGACTCAAAGTTAGTGTTTCCATGGTGAGTGCACTGACTGAAAAGCAGAAGTCCAAGGCTTGGTCTACTAATTGTGAAGCATTTTGTGTTGGTGGTCTTGCAGAGGTATTTGCAGTGACTGTAGATTCAGCCAGGAGGAGCTTATTTCTGCTGCTGTGCTTCCCTACTTTTGGATTTACCAATTTCATTGTTCAGGTGTGAACAGAGGTGTGAGAATTTAGGAGGTGGGGGCACAGGATGCAGAAGAGGATTTTAAGGTCTTTATTACTTTGGTATATATGGGACCTACCTGGTGCATTTTAGTCAATGAATGTGTGCTTGATCAACCAATTACTAACTAATACATGCACAATATACAGATGCAGGGAGGACAGTAGGGACTCATAACTTGTTTTTTCCCTGTGGCCCCCATAATGGATTAATCCGGCCGTCCTGCGGCTTCAACTAAAGGACCAGATATTTCCCGCAGGTCCCTCAGAGTTGGTAGAGACCAAAAACAAAGGTAAAAAGAGTGTGAATATTGGAGTTTCAGTCACCAGGTGGCCAGAAACTTGAATGATAATGTTGCTTAGTAACTGCTGGATGTGTAAATAAGCAACTGTTCAACAAGTTCGCTATAAAAGATGATGATATGTCAGTGTTGTGCTCACAAATTGTTTCTGCTGTCCGCAAGCTCCAAAATCAATCATAACCAAACTAGGCAGACCAGAAAAAAGTCAGATGAATTATTGCTGTAACAGTCACTTGTATTAATCTATATGTTGTATTTTAGTTTGGAGGAATTACTGAGATTTAGTAGTGCAGTGACGAATGATCCCTCACAGGCTGCAGCCAGCTGCCGACAAACCCAGTTGCGTGCACATACACTGCTAATGGTGTAAACTGACTGTATTGACGTTCAGTGGTGCTGTGGTGACCAATGATTTTTTTTATCTCTATTGTATTTTTAATTACAAAGGGCAGAGGTTTTTCGCATTGAGGAAGCTGCAGCACCTCTTTCCAGCAGCTGACAGGCCTAATGATGCACAGGGATTTTCAGAGATTTGAGAGGCAAATTAAATCAATCAGCCCTTGTGTGCACTGATGAAGCTGTCAGCCATAATGACCAAAATTACAGCATTTTTTTTCACTCTCTGTCTCCGTCTCTCCAGGTTAGTGGTTATTAATAAGCCATTACGTGTAGCCAGGTTCCATAACAGGCTCTTATGTCTAATAAGGCTCTAATAGGCTTCACTGCTCAAAGGAAAAACTGTCACTCATCACTTGCTGTTTTGTTGCGTGTGAAGTGTAAATGTTTACATTATAATGTGTATTTGTATTATCTGCTATTATTTATTTGAGTATCAGCTGGTGATTAATCTGGACCACTTTTCATTATAAAGAGTAGTAACTAAGATCATTATTCATGGTGACTAAATCTCAATAAGTAATGCTTTATAGACCTGTTAGAAGACATTAATGAGAAGAAGTTTTGGAGTTGCCAGGATGTGAAAAATATTTTTGCCTGGTGTCATGCAGCTAATAGGTTTCTCACTTTATAAGTCATCGTGACTGCAGTTATAAATCTTAATATGATGTTAATAAATAGATTTTGGTCAAGTGTCATGTAGGAAGAGGATGAACACCAGACAGAGAGATTTTTCACAACCTGGCAACCCAAAAGTTGTTTGTATTAATGCCATATAACCATACAGGGATTATATGGAGGGCATAGCTAGGATCTTAAAAATACAGAGCTCATAACCTCTTCCCCGAAGTGTAACATGAATTAAATCATTCATTTTATTCATTAATTTCTCTTTTCATTGATTTTTTTTTCTTTGTAAGAAATGATGGAATTTTATGGAAAGAAATACTAAATCTCTTTATTGTAATTTAAAGTTTTAGCATAAAATGTACCAGAATTAGCTGTCAGGAACCACCATGTTTAATTTGTGTGTAACTGTATAGAATGCAAAACCCTCAAAACCCAGAAATTCGCAGACACAATACAGAAAATTGATAAATCCTTATTATAAAGTGGTACCAATTAATCCATGGTGAAAAAGAAACTAAGTATATTTACTAGTACTAAAGTAATTTTTATTGTTGTTTAGTTTATTATTTCTAATTTATCTAACCTTACACTTATAATTAACTAAATAACAAAGGAAAAAAATGTACTTTACAATAAGAAACTATGATAAGTATATAAAATATAATGCATTATTAGGATTATTAGGATTAAGATTAAATCAGTGGTTCCCAAACGTTTTGGCTAATAATCCATTTGTACTTAAATTCGATTTTAAATGCATGACTTTTTACATTGTTGTATTGGTACTTTTACTTAAGCTAAAGATCTGAACACTCCTTCCACCACTTATAACTGCTCAGTAAAACATGATTTATTCATCTTTAGTTAAGCCATTAGTTGCCACCTTTACAAAGGATGCCTTACTATAAAGTGGTAGCAATCAAACTGCATCTAAGTAGGATTATACTGCACATTGTGAATCAATCAGGCAATATTAATCTGCACGTCAGGAGTCTGGTAGGTCAAACAAAAAACAAAAAAAGAAAAAAGACCCATTTAATACCATCATATCTGCAGGGTGGAGGTGTAACAAAGACAGGGCACAATAGGTTTCCACTGAGGCTGCAATCCCGTTGCTCTCCACACGGGGGCAGGCGCGTATTCAAACCCTCATTGGTTACAACTGTTTACGCCAACCAATGGGAGCCTTTTGCGTCTGAACCGTTGCTTCCGGGTGTCTCCAAATGAAGAAAGCGTTTAATGCTTTTTTTTTTTTTGTATTTTCTAACAGCTCCGCGGCCATAACACGAAAATGAACCGAATATTTGGACGCGGGAAGCCGAAAGCGCCTCCTCCCAACCTGTCGGACTGTATCGGCAATGTGAGTACTGTCAGGCGGAGGTGTGTAAATGTTGTTTATGTCACTATTATGTGACCTAGCGGTACCGTTAACTGAGCTAGCATAGTCACAAAAGGGCAGCCAACCCCTGCTGCTGGCAAGCTATCAAGCTACGGCTATTTTACACAACAACAACAACAACAACAACAGCGTCTCTCATGTCTCCTCCTGGCTCACATTGCGATAAAAAAAAAAAAAAATGCATCTTATAACCACAACCCTCCCTCTGTGTTTACCTCACACACACACACACACACACACACACACACACACACACACACACATCACATCTCCCTGTGTATCCCTTCCTCTCTCAGGTGGATGCGAGGGCAGAGTCCATAGAGAAGAAGATCAGCAGACTAGACGCCGAACTCATGAAGTACAAGGATCAGATGAAGAAGATGAGGGATGGGCCCTCGAAGGTAACATGGCAACCATAGGAGTTATGTTAGGTGGCACAGATGTAGCAGTTTTATTTATTTGTTTGCTTGTTTTAATGCAGAACATGGTGAAACAGAAGGCGATGAGAGTCCTGAAGCAGAAGAGAATGTGAGTCCTACGCTGTGTGATTTTGACACTTGGCAGAGATATAGAGCCCTGACTGGTATATCGATAAGTACTGTATCATAATGTATCTGTACAGAAATGCCAGATGTGTTAAAGGTCCAGTGTGTAACATTTAGGAGCTGCTATAGGCAGAAATTGAATTCATAACTATGTTTTCATCACCTGAAAATAAGAATGTTTTTATTACCTTACCTTTTGGTTACACTAGATTGCACTGAATCCTACACACTGGTCCTTTAATGGCGTGCTCAGTTAGAAACTGTGTCACCATTACATAGTTTCAATTGTTAAATGTCTCATTTAGTCCATGTCTTGCCAGTTCAGGGACAATCAAATTTAAAAGTATCCTTATCAAACATATGTATACGCATATTAGCCATTCAACATTCAATTATCAACCTCAGTGATCCAGTATTGGTTTCTATTGAGAAAAAAGATTATGTGCATAACACAAATGCTTTAAATCCAACTTTATTTTGTTTTTACACAGGTATGAAGGTCAAAGAGAGCAGCTGGCTCAGCAGTCTTTTAACATGGAGCAGGCAAACTACACAATTCAGACATTAAAGGACACCAAAACAACAGTAAGAGTCACACAACAAGAAGTAGTTTGGGTTGGCGTGAGGTTGTTTTTAAGTTGGTTTTTTTAAACTACTGCGTTTAGTCACACTGAACATGTACGACTAGCTTCTCGTCATGCTGTCTTATGTACCTAAGATGTGATTTTTTTTTTTCTACATGAGTTTTCATTTTGTTCAGTCAACTAGCAAACAAAATAGTTCCTAGGAGTAGCTGACACTGAGTCAAGTCTTGAAATCTGAACATAGTGCTGGTCTCCAGATTCAGAGCTGACTGGATTCCTATCGGTATGTGTCTTTACCAGAATAGCTTGTGTAGATAGAGTCCCTTTTTACCACTGACTAAATATATATTTTATATCTGCAATGTATCTTCTGTTCTCAGGTGGAGGCCATGAAGATTGGTGCAAAGGAAATGAAAAGGGCTTACAAGGACGTCAAACTCGATCAGATTGACGTATGTTTGTCATACACCACTACACTGTTTCTGTTGTTAATTATATATTGATTGTTTAGACTGAACTGAACTTCTCTATTTGTACAACCACCATTACTTCTAAGTGTGTTTAGACGTACAGCGAGTGAGGATTTTGTCCAAATAATGTTAGAATAACCACCTTTTTAGATGTTTTACCTCTCTTGTCCTGCTGGTATAAATAAATAACTTTTTTTGTATATTTTCTTCTGTAATTTACATTTCTAAAACTGTTGCTGCTTGTTGCTAATTGTCAGGTTCCTTAGT